CTCCTCTTAATTTATGTCCCTCTGACCAAATTAGTATAGGCCTCAAAGTACATCTGTTAAACATCCAAGAAGGCTAGTTCCACCCGTTTGGTACTTTTAATTACCATGTGCTGTGTGTAGCTAGAGCTTGAGCAAAAACCAAACATTTTCAGATAAACCTTAACTAGACATTTATTTTGTTCTATTGCTTTTGGTAGGATCCTCATTTTCACAATATTAATTCTTCTAATCTATGAGCATGGGAGGTCCCTCCATCTCCTGGTGTCTTCCTCAATCTCTTTAACAATTTAAAATTTTCATTGTAGAAATCTTTGGTGTCTTTGGTCAGGTGTATTCTAAGATATGTATATTTTTGTAGTTATGAACATCAGAGTTTTCAAGTACTCCTTTTCTGATTGCTTGTTATTAGTACATGGAAAGGCTATGGACTTTTGTTTATTAAATTTGTAACCTGCCACTTTACTGAAGGTGTTAATAATTTCTAGGAATTTTCTGGGGGGATATTTGGCATCCCTTAGATATAATATCATATCATCTGCAAAAAAGGATAATTTGATCTCTTCTTTCCCAATTATTACTCGTTTAATTTCCTTCCTTTGTCTTATTGCTCTTGCAAGAGTTTCAATAATATGTTAAAGAGAAGTGGGGATAATGGACAGCTTTGTCTGGTTCCTGATTTCAGTGGTAATGCTTCCAGTTTTTCTCCATTTAGAATGACAATGCTTCCAGTTTTTCTCCATTTAGAATGATGTTGGCTGTGGGTTTTTTATACGTGACTTTAATTATGTTGAGGCTTGTTCCCTCCAGTCCAACATGGATGAAATGAAACAAATGGAAGAAGCCCTAGGGTTGGATTAGAATGATGTTGGCTGTGGGTTTTTTATATGTGGCTTTAATTATGTTGAGGTATGTTCCCTCCTGTCCAATTCCCCCTAGGACTTTGAACATAAATGCATGTTGAATTTTGTCAAAGGCATTCTCTGCATCTATTGAGATGAACATATGCTTCTTGTCTTTGAGTCCATTTATATGATTTATGACTTACATATATTAAACCATCCATGCATCTCTGGGATAAAGCCGACTTGATGATGGTGGATGATCTTTTTGATGTGTGTCTGTATGTGGTTTGCAAGTATCTTGTTGAGATCTATGTTCATTAAGGATATGGTCTATATTTTTCTTTTTTGGTTGTATATTTACCTGGCTTTGGTATTAGAGTGATGCTGGCTTCATAGAATGAACTTGGAAGTTCTCCCTCCATTTCTATCTTTTTGAATAAATTAAGTAGTATTGGATGCAGATCTTCTTTAAATGTCTGATAGAA